ACTGATTATCTTTTTGTATTACTAATGCCGTTGCTCTGTTGTTTTGGTTGTTTAGAACTTTTGGGGGTGAATGGTAATAAGATAAAAATCTAATTTATATGCCCTGTCAACATTGCCAAATTAAACAAGAAATAAACATTTTAAAACAACAAAAAAAAGACCTTGAAAATATTCCTCCTCAGCAGCGTCATTATGCCTGACGGAAAGATTGAAATCAGAACGAACAACAAATCTTAAAAAAAGAGCAACAATTAGCCTCATTATCTAAAACTCCTCATGAGTGCGATAATTGAGAAGCCACAACTCCCCGCAATAGTCAAGCCTTTACTTTTGAAATTCCTAAAAATAGCCCCTCATGAGAACAAGAATTCCAAAAGCAACAAGAGGAACATGTAAAGAGTAGCCAGATATATAACAATTTGGTTAAGCAAACATGAGAGAGAGAGAGAGAGAGAGAGCAATTTCAATCTCAAATCAATAATCTCACAACTCAATTAGAACAAGCCCAAAAGATTTTCACCGAAAGCAAAAAAGCCGCCGAGGAAACTGAGGAAAAACTTTTAGACGACTTTTTAAAACTCCATGCTGAACTAGAACACGAAAAAGAAGCCCACAAGGACACCGAGGAATTAAGTCGTAGACAAGCCACCTTAATGAATGGTTGCTTACAGCAATTAGAAAGTCAAATTAAGCGATTAAAGGACGATAAAGATATCTTAATTAAGCAAGCCGCAGAGCAGCAGGAAATAATTAACGAACATAAACAATTTGAGAAGTCTCAAAAAAATAAAATCAACCAATTACAGAAAACCAATAAAAAAATCAGTAAAAAGTTAGAGAAAGCAAGCCTTAATTTAACCAAGGCTCGGCAGGATAAAAAAACCCTATCCGCAACCCAAGATAAAAACCAACAATTAATTGCTAAATTAAGACTAAAAATCAATAATTACCAAACAATTATCAAACAAAAAGATCAACAAGCAAAAAGTAAGCGTATTGAAATTAATCAAGGAAAGCGAAAAGTTATTAATAATTTGCGGAAAGAAATCCAGCAATTACAAAAGCAAGTTCAGCAGGAGAAAAATAGAGCCGATAATTTACAAACTTGAAAAGATAATCATAATTGTTCTTGTCCGAAAGTGTGCTGTAAAAATGGAGATTATGCCACAATCAAGCAGCAATTAGATAACCATGAGTGTCCGACAGTGGATAATAGCAAGGTAGAAAGCCTACGGAACGAAGTAAGGGAAAAAGACCAAAAAATATCCTCATTAGAGCAGGAGATAAAAACCCTTAAAGATAGGCCTCCTGTGGTGGATAGTTCAGAAGTAGAAAGATTATTGACTGTGGTGGCGGAAAAAGAGCAAGTTATTAGGGAGTTGGAGAGTAAATTATCCACGGCCAAGCCGCAGCAAATTGAAGTTAAAAGCGAGGAAGTTCAGGGGTTAAGGAATAAGTTAGCGGAGCAGGAAAAGAGGATTGAGAGATTGCATGTGATTTATTTGCTGATATTAAGTGTGGCGGCTTTGGTTGGTTTAGTGAGTTTAGTCAGGGGTAAAATTAGAGGGAGGAAGCCTAAAATTAGGTAATATGATAACCAAAAACAAAAAATCTACAATAAAACCAACCAAGACCATAGAAATCAAGCCCGACCAAAAGCGAGAAGGAAAAGCCTTTGGTTGTAGTGAAATATTTAC